GTGTTGGCAGCATGTCTGTTTGTTTCTGCCAAGCAGAAAACCAAGATCGGCTTAAGAATAAACCTGGACTTGGCACTGAACACATGTGGTTCTTCTAGAAAACAAAGTACAATTTAGACTTTGGGGGAAAAAAAGTCACAAAGTTATTCAACATACTCTCTCTCTCTCTCTCCGTGTGTGTGTGTGTGTGTGTCTGTGCCTGTGTCTGTGTCTGTCTGTCTGTGTGTGTGTGTTTGACTTTATGTCCCAGACTTTTTTGAGCAGTGGATTTTAGAACCAAAAGCAATGATTACCACTTGGTCGTTTTCAAAGGGCACTACTTTTGTGGTTTGCTTGATAACATGTGTTTTAAATGTTTGTGAAGGTACAATGTGGTACTTCAAAAGTTCATGGAAAACAGGATTAAAAGATAAGTTTATTTTGGCACAAAGAAATTTTGAAAGCCATGCATCATTTTTCATAATATCCACTTTGCGTGAACTTCTTGCAGTCTCTGCATATGTATTTCTTCGGTGCAGGAACCAGCTTGCTTAACTGGTCCATGTTACCTTCTAGAGAGCATTATGATCATAATAGTATTAACATTATTGAAAATGGTTCTTTATAAGTCAATTGTTTAATCATGTGTGCATAGTTTATAAAGGAATCATACACATTTGTGTTTTCCCCTATACTATAGTTAAAACTTTACTCCCTGAAAACCACATAGAGTTAAGTATAGGTTCAATAGTTCTAGATGATAGAATTACCACAGTGACATGACAGAGAAGAGATAGCATCGGAAATGATGCTCATTAACTATGCAAAATCATTTTATTCCGTCAGGAAGCATAAACTTTGTTTAAGTGGATCCTTCAGATCTGTTAGATCCTAGGTGTAAAAGTATGAGTCGTCATAGAATGGCGGATGTCCTAAATAGCACTCTGGCCTCAGAATCAGCCCTAAAGGCACTCGGATCTGGCTGAAAAGCCCATGAGAGTATTTCAGGCATGGAAAGCCAAGACACTCTGGCAAAAAGATCTCTGTGAGTGAGATCCCAGTGGAAAGAACAGGTCTTCAAAGAGGGAGGTGCCTTTCTCTGAAGGGAGGAGAGAACCTCCACTTTGACTATGACCTTGGCTAAACAAGATAAGAGTCGGAGAACTCAAGGGGCTTCCATAGCCTTGGAAACTCATAACTGGTGCATAGGGAGATTACTGATGCCATAAACAGGAGTGTCAATTGGTAAAGTCAACAACAGGAGTCACTGTGCACTTACTCCTCATGTAGGATCTCGGTCCTTAACGTGCTGTACACTGAGGCTTAATGCTATAACGAGTACTCAAACAGTATATTTCACTTTGTGTTTCTATGGGGGTGCAAACGACTGAAATCTTTACTTAATGTACACTAAACTGATCTTCTGTAAAAAAAAAAAAAAAGAAAAAGAAATTATCAATTCCCAACTTGACTCTCACTGGGATTAAACATGACAATAGGTCTGATCTGATTTCATCATCATTTTAAAAAAATCATCTATTATTTTTCACTTTATGTTTCTGTGTGGGAGCAAACTGTTGAAATACTTACTTAAGGTATACTAAGCTGATCTTCTGTATATTAAGATAATCGAAAATGAATCTTGATGTGAATGGAAGGGGAGAGGGAGTGGGAAAGGGGAGGGTTGTTGGTGGGAGGGACGGTATGGGGGGGGAAGCCATTGTAACCCATGAGTCGTACTTTGGAAATTTATATTCATTAAATAAAAGATAAAAAAAAAAAAGTCATATAGACAAAAAAAAGAAAAAAAAAAGTATGAGTCGTGAGATGATATTCCTCTCTACTCATCTTCTCAAATGCAGTGGAAGCAAGTGGGGAAAAAAGAAGCTGGCATTATTCATTATCCAAAATCAAACAAAAAGAATTGATGTCATAAAGAATTACATTTGGAGGCATGTTGATATCCCTGGAAGATGATGTTAGGATACATCTGTAGTCCTCTCAAAAGCAATTTCAGTTCACATGGAGCTGTGAACATGATAAAAATTTTTGATTCATTCACAGACGTATTCATTGTAGGAAATATAGAGAGTAAAGATGACAAATTTGACTTATCTGATTTTTATTCCATGTGCTTGTAGAAAGCAAAGAACATTTTAATAATGGTTCTTCTAGAAATTTTCCCACTTAAGTGAAACCCTACATATATAAGCAAATATGGGATAAGTAGTTTTTAAACTTGTTTTCAACAAGTCTTTGCAAAATTAACTGATAGACATTAAACACGTAGATTTATTGTATTTAGTAGATTTTTCATGTTGTTATTATCATGCAGGGGTACCAATAATAATGAATCAGGCTTTGGAGGGAGTGATATTCAAATGTTTCCCAGTTTGGTAAAGAAAAACAACAAGGTGGGTGCCGCTCACTAGGTTAATCCTCCGCCTGCTGTGCCGGTACCCCAGGTTCTAGCCCTGGTTGGGGCATCAGATTCTGTCCTGGTTGCTCCTCTTCCAGTCCAGCTGTCTGCTGTGGTCCGGGAAAGCAGTGGAGGATGGCCCAAGTGCTTGGGCCCTGTACCCACATGAGAGACCAGGAGGAAGCACCCGGCTCCTAGCTTGGAATCGGTGCAGCACCGGCCGTAGTGGCCATTTGGGGGTTGAACCAATGGAAGGAAGACCTTTCTCTCTGTCTCTCTCTCTCTCACTGTCTAACTCTACCTGTCAAAGAAAGAAAGAAAGAAAGACAACAAGGCAACAGAAATTCTCTCACCTTGTTAGATGATTTTCTTAGAATAAATTCTAGAACTACTTTTAGATTGAAGGATGTAAGTATGCAATAACGTCCACATAGCATAAAATTACTTTGGCTCCTCTCCACAAACTCACTAAAAAGGTCTTAAAAAGAACTATGAGACCTCCAAGACAGATCATAGACAAGAAGAGGAATGTGGCTGTCTGAAATGGGCTCACTCACTGTATTGTCCTCTGTGTGAAACGAAATAGCATGAGGGTGTGTACACTTGATGTCTATCACCACACAACAAATCACCGCAACTTAGAACACGGTTATTCTGAGTCAGGACAGAATAGCGGGGCCCTCTGCTGCGGGTTCTCTCTCAGGTTGTAATCAGGAAGTAGTCTGGAGGATCCCATGGGAAGGCTCCATCGATGAGGCAGTCGGTTCACACTCACCTACATGGTTGTCCATTGGCAAGAGTCTATTTCTTTCGAGTTGTGAGACTGAGGGAATTTGGGTCTTGTGAGTCTCTGATAGGGCACTTTGCTTCCTCAAAGCCAGCAAGCAAGAGCATTGGCTTGTAAGACAGAAGCTGCGTTTTTACATGAGACTTAAACTTTGTACACATTTATAATGTACTTTGTGATGTTCTGATACATGTACACATTGTGGGTAAACATTTCTACCTGTCTCCTCAAATATGTAGCACTCCTTTATGGTGAAAGCATTCGAATTTTCTATTCTAGCTTTTATGAAATGTGCAGCATGTTGTCATGAGCTGTGGACACACTGTTGTGCAACAGAAAACCAGGGCTCTTTTCTTCGGTTTCTCATTAATTTAGCCCCATTGGTGGGCCTGTCTGTATGCCTCTCTCGTCCTTACCCTCTCCAGCCTCTGGTAATCACTACTTTACATTCAACTTCCAAGAGAGCAAGTAGTTATGTTTTTAATGCACACAATTGCAGAGTGATACCCATCACATCTGCTAAGATCTGATTGTTTAGAGACCAATAAAAGTTCAAGGGGATAGGGTTACCCAAAAGCGTGAAAACCAGGAGGTAGGGATCACTGGGGCCATCTTATGGTCTGTCTGTCACAATGAGTCTGTGCATGGAGGTGGACAATCACAAGTTAAGCTGGTATGGTACAGTCACATAGGAAGGGTGTTTCTGGATGTTCTAAGAGACATTTTTGGCAGCTATGCCAAATTGTGGAATAAACAGCTTAATTTGTTTCAATGACCTTCAGTTTTTAATCATTTAGATTTCTTATTTAATAAACACTGGTCTGACTTGGATGATTCTATAATGATCACAAAACATTTAAATTCGTTAAATAATTTTAAAAGAATCATTGCACTACCCCTTATGGCTTCTATTACTTAATATTGAAATGAATTTGAAACATCTTAATTGGTAGACAGCATGTATGTACACACTTTAACCAACTGAATTATATATATATGAAAATAAAAATTTATTAAATTATGGCTCTTAACTGCATTTCAATTTTGCTTCACAATATAGATGTGATTGATAGTAATTATGGCATATAAATGTTCCACTATTGATAATAAATTGCACTTTTCATTCTTTCAGAAACACATTTAAAATGCATATGCACAAGTGTGCAATCTTAAGAGAGATTGATGGAAAAAGACATATTAGGTGGCAAATTTTCAAATGCACAACCTATGTCCCAATTTTACAATATTTGTGCAGTATCTTCTCTGTTTCACCAATGGTTCTGGATTTCCGCAATTGAAAGAAAGTCCCTCTGTTCAAGGCCATAATCTATGCTTGGAGGGCAGATGGAGCCCAGGGCTGTCCTCTTTCCCCAAAATGGGCCTGTAATTGGCATAATCAGCAGATTCAATTATTGGCTCAACTGATAGAAATGTGTTCTCTCTACTGACCAACCAGAGTTTCTTCCTTTTTCCTTTTTTTTTTTTAAGAAGAAAGGGTGATAAATTAATAACTTTTGAAAAGGACTATCCAGAAATTGAAACATTTGTGAGTGAAACGGAACTAATGATAAAGTATGCCCAGCTTCACTGTCATTAAAGAAGAAAGTATTTATGTACCCAGTAAAGGTTTAAAAATAACAATACAGCTAGCAGTACCAACTGAGAATTGCGGAATAATGAATCTGCAAATCATTATTGATTAAGCTGTGAATTCAAGATTGCTTCTTAACCCAAGAAAATGTCTTGACCTATACTTTTTTTAAATTTTATTTTGTCAAATTAATTCAATTCAATTAGTAGTTATTGAACACTTACCCAGTGTGTGGTACTCTAGGAGGGTGAGCAATTTCCAGTCTCTGGCATGGCAGTGAGCAGAGCTTCCCTGAGGATTGGGAAGTTCTCTTTTAGCCCCCGGAACGTGCCCTCCTCAAGTCTAGGCCATTTTCTCACAGAACACCTCCTCCTATGGTGCATGTGTGTAGCCCCTCAGCAGAATCCCTGCCCCAGCCAGGATGCTGTCTTTCCCCAGACTGTCAGGTAGTGAGAGTGGCTTCTGAGAGTGACTGCAGAGTCGGACAGAACCTGGAGCCGCCATTCAGAAAGTGGCTATACAGCAAAGGGACCAGGGCCTCCTGTAACTGCTAGGACCCCTACCAGGTCAGGCGCTGGGAGAAGAAGCAAATGGAAGTAGACCTCAAGGGGAGGACACTCCTGGAGCAGGAACCTTGAGGGTTAAATCCTGGCTTTGCCACTTGCTCCCCAGCCCTATGTCCCTGGGCCCGTTTTCCATGTTCCTTCATTAACTGGAAAACTATTAACAATATTTGACACAAATGTAGAGATCACTTGAGGTGACAACAGATCAAGGATGTTGCATTCAATCTGGCTTTGTGACTGTGATAAATACAGCTCAGCAGCTACAGGAGGAATGAGTGAAACTCAAGTCAGAGGCCAAGTTTCACTCCTGAGTTATCATTAGCCCTTTTTAGAAAACAGTGACAATAGAACCCAAAGGAAAAGAGAGCAGTCAGAATCTTCCTGAGCATTGAGGAGGAAGACGGGGAGTGGAATATAAGCCACCCAACTGCTTCCCAAATAAGGAAGCATTCAGAATTCTCAGGACCCAAAGTTCTAAAATACAATGGCTTGTTCTCAGTATTGTGAACAGCCAGGTTAGGAAAATCAGCCAATGAGACCACATTGATTGATCGACTACTGAATTAATATTCCTTCATCTTTAAAAATATTCAACTACAGAAATGAGGGTTTAACTGTAAGGTCATACTCATTTTTAACCACTGCACTCTTTGAATTAATCTTGTACAATCTGTCAGAGAAAAAATGAATTAAAAGGCAAGTTCATAGACAGACATTTGACAGAGTAATCAAGATTCCAGTTTGATTCATATGCCCTCATCCCATATAGGAATGCCGGGGTACAAGTCCTGGCTCTGCTTCTGATTCCAGCTTCCTGCTAATGCACACCCCAGGAGGTAGCAGATGATAACACAAATTACAGAGTCTTTGCCATTAGCGTGGGAGACCCAGATGGAAGTCTGGGCTGCTGGCTTCCAGCCCCTGCTAATGTGGACATCTGATGGTATATCAGTGGATGGAAGATCTCTGTCTGCCTTTTAAATTAATGAATAAATAATTAGAAATATTTTTGAAAGATAGGCTTATTTTGGTGCAAAAAATTTTGAAATCTCTGCATAATTTTTGACAATGCCCACTTCTTATGAACCTTCTGAAGACCTCACCTGTTACTTTCCTTTGAAATAAGGAACAGCATATTTAAAAAGAAAAGAATCTACTTGGCTTGCACATTTGAAATATGTCAACATTTTGTGATACACACATTTTCATTGTTGTTTTGGTTAAAATAAATTGAGAGCTTAAATGGGTCAGGCACTGGTATTTGTGGATGGACTATGTTATTTTGAATTCTCAGCAGCCCTGTGATTTGGTAGCATTCTCGCTTTGCAGATGAAAGCAAACTTTCTTAGGAAGAAAAGGAGCCTAGCCCAAGGTTACATAGCGGGTCCCTGCCGGGTCTGCCAGCCTTCTCAGCCTTCACTCCTGACCAGCGGTGCCCTGAGATAACAAAGGTTCGGATTTGCTGTCTCACGGTGGAGACACAGTTATGCTCACACGACCCAAATAAGGAAGCAGAGGCAAGGTCGTATTTTTGGTAAGAACCAAAACTCTGCCCTCAAAGATCCTTCCTTGGCCACGATGCATCCCATGGAAATAAAATAGTAATAAAATTCTTTAAAAAAAAAAAACAAACTGGCTTTGGTACTTTTCCATTTGGTCTCTGATGATCATTTCTGGGCTGTGTGTGCCTTGGTCCTTTCAAATTCTTTGTCCTATCAGGGTTCCCAGGCAGTTTTTTTAGCCCATCCAAATTAGAATTGCAGCAGCCTCTGCTCCTTTCTCTGTAAGCAGTCCGTCTAGATCCAATGATTTACTGTCGTCCACCACATGTCCAACCGAACCCCCTAGAATGGTGCTTTCCATCCCCAGCTGCATGGGGGCTACAGGCACAGCTCAGGGGGCTTCGGAGCCAGCTGCCTGGAATATCACAGGCGTACACCGAGACCACTCAGGGCAAAGCAACAAACCTGCCTTTGTGAATTGCAGTTGATTCCACTTTCGAAAAGCTTTCCATGGCCTTAATTCAATTTTGGTAAGGTTGCAGTTCCTTAAAATCAAATATATCTTTCAAAAATTGTAAGTACGTTTTGAATAGTAAGAAAAAAGAGAAGAAAACATTTCCAACATTTGGCATTCTGATTTTCCTAAGATATGGGCTTGCAGAGGGAGGTCCTCAAGAAGTTCATGGAAAATTCAAATTATGAAAAATCCATTCACTGAATACCAAGAGAAAATTGCACCACCAATAAACTTATTTATTATTTTTCCATGGACTTTTTGAAGTTTAAGGTTTTTATATGAAGTGTTTATTTTTAAAACAAAAAAATTTTTGAGTGATAACATTCAGAGCTTTTCAAAAAGCAAATAGTATGACTAATACAACGAAACTTATTAAGCCATAATGTAAACTATTGTTTATATTGAGATTTTTAGACTAGTTTGCTTAAAAACACTAAAATGTTTATCTTGTAATTTATGGAAAATGATTAAGAATCTTGGAGAAATTAAGCCTGGCCATAAACTTAAAATATAACATCTTAGAGGATAAAATGTCGAACAAATAATTTTAGTTTACACTTTTGGTGGAAGTTTGTCATGAGTTTTGTATTTGTTGAATATATTTTAGGGGGATGGAATAGTTGAATATAATTTAATCAGAAACTCGCTTTGCTATGAAATAGAAACTTTTGCCAAACTGTTTCTGTCATGCCAGTCCATTTTTTAATCAAAAAGATTTGCTACCACGGAAAACTACCCAATGAGAAATTCAGCTAAAATGGCAGTTTCCCCGCCTTGCTTCCATCTGAATATTTAACGTTAGAAAAAAGTCCTGCTCTATTTTTCAGCTGGAATCACAGCAGTTTCTGTTTCTAACCTGGGAAGAATGTGGTTGGGACTGAAAAGCCTCCTGCCCTATTGTTAGACTCCCCGGCACTGATCCTTGCTTTTAACATCATAATGAAGGATGCTCTTTAGTGGATTATCTTGAGAAGGGATTAACTCCTTCAAGTCTTCTTAGGGGGCAAGGTGTTTTGAGCCCTAAATACACACCAATTGCCTGCTTAACTTTTCATCTTATTTTGAAAACTGCCCAGCTGGAGTTCAAATTCTTTTCCATAGCGCTGAATTTTATTAGTAGCAAAGTTGGAGTTGGGGGCGGCAGATGCTAAATATAAGCACTGTTCTTTTAATCTCGTGGGGCCAAATGTTTCAGATATTTCATGGAGACAGGCGTGTCAGGCTAGGACTCAATCTCAACTCTGCAGTAAATGCTGCAAGCGCCAAAATCAGGGCGCCAACTCCTAGGCCCCCAACCTAAGCCTTCTGGAAGACCTTCCTTTCATTGGGCTCTGCTTTAAACACCACTTGTCTACATGGCCCTTGCTCCATGGCTGGTAACATTATGATCCACATTGTTTTAAGTCACACTCAAAGCAGAATCCAAATGCCTAGTAAACACACACACACACACACACACACAATTGAAAAAGGACTAATTGCCCTATAATTGATAATCAAGTGGTTCCTTAGCTCCGCTTCCTTATCTTAACAACCATTTATTTCTGTCTGCCTGCTACACTAATACCAAAATCTTCCACTTGTTTCATATTCATCTTACCCGTCCCTGAACCCATTCCTGTCATTCTCTACCTCCCATTGAATTATCATATGGTTTGCCAAGACACTAGGTAGTTCTGAATTTTTCCTTCTCTATACTTTTCTGTTATTTCAAATGTCTTTTCTTAATAGATTACAACTTTTTTTTTGTTCAACAAAAAGATTTTCACCACTGAAAACACTCATTAACTGGAGAAAATTACTTTTAAACACACACACACACACACACCACAAAAATCCTTTCTTGATACTTTATCTTTCAGGTTGATTTTTTTAAAGTTCAAATAGCAACATACATTACCTGCAGCTTTTTAAACAAAAAATATGTAATTAATGAAAACGATGCTACATCAAACATGTAAGAAATCTTAAATACATATGCTACAAAAACTACAGCAAAAAGATCTTAACAAAGTGAAGTCTTGTAATTTTTTATAAAACCAGAGTACCCAGGTGTACTTTTCCTGCGAACAAAATGAGGTGAACTCTTACTCTTTTTACATCTATCGCTATGGATAATAACTGTATTTTGGGAGCTGTGCTTTAATTGTAAATAATCCTCCACATTCTTTCACTGTGAACTCTTTAAGGAGTCATGAATTTTATTTATCCTCTCTCTCTCTTTGAGAGTCTTTTGTTTATTTGCTGTTTCGCTCTTTGTGAAATAACACTCCCAGAGGAAAATCCCCTCTCTGAGTAAGGAATTAGGCCAGAGACAAAAGCCGGGAATTCTTTAAGCCTTGTTTTGTGCTAAGAGAAATGTTTGACATTTCTGTGGAGAGGTGTTTAGTTTGGATTCATTAGGTCTTAGGGACTCTTTTCTCTTTTTTGGCCTTTCAGTTTCTGTCACTGTTTTTTTTTTTTCTTCTTCTTCTTTCTGTGTTTGGTAGACTAGAGCGAATTTACCAGGGTATAATTAGGCTTCCTACATTTGGATAGCAGAAATTCAGCTGTATTAAATGGACACACCAAGTATTCCCTTTTGCTCCACATGCCCAAACCTGATTTCCCCTTTCTGAGACCCATCAGAGTAGGAGAGCGTGCTGCAGAAGGGCATGGGAGAAAAGGTGCCCGGGAAGTTTAGGTCCCGTCTGAAGTCAATACTTCTTTAAGGGTCTTCCTGCCGCCCTGTGTGACCATCACTCCCACAGTTCCACCTCTGAAAGCCAAGGCATGTGGTTGCCCTCGGCTTCCTCCAGGAATATTAAATCTATTTAGCTTTAGCAGCAATTTTTATAGCACGAAAGGAGATTTTTTAAAAATATCTCTACACTGGGGCCGGCGCCGTGGTTCAATAGGCTAATCCTCCGCCTAGTGACGCCGGCACACCGGGTTCTAGTCCCGGTCAGGGCGCAGGATTCTGTCCCAGTTGCCCCTCTTCCAGGCCAGCTCTTTGCTGTGGCCAGGGAGTGCAGTGGAGGATGGCCCAAGTACTTGGGCCCTGCACCCCATGGGAGACCAGAAGCACCTGGCTCCTGCCATCAGATCAGCGCTGTGCGCCGGCCGCAGCACACTGCCTTCGGCGGCCATTGGAGGGTGAACCAACGGCAAAGGAAGACCTTTCTCTCTGTCTCTCTCTCTCTCTCACTGTCCACTCTGCCTGTAAAATATATATATGTATATATATATGTATATATATATATCTACAGTATATATATATGTATATATATATATCTACATTGCAGCACCATGACAGGCCTCTATTTCTTCCCGGATCAGTTCGGGGGGTGTCCATTGCCTGGCTTGGAAGTGGTTCCTCGTAGATAGGGTGGCATGGCCAGTGACTTGTCTTATGCAGGACTTAGGGATACTTTGCTAGACTATGAGTGTCACTGCCTGAATCGGTAGAAGTTCAGATATTCTTCACCAAATCTTAAAGCTAAAAGTACAGTTTGGTCCTGTTTTTCCATTCCTTCCTGGGTGCGACATGGACTAAACCATGTTGATGGTCTCTCTGCTTGTCCCGCTGCTAAGATCAAAGCACTGAAGTGGTATGGGCAGGAAACCTTGAAGCTCCCCTCCGGAACAATTTGGAGATTAGCAAGTGCGAACCACACAGTCTGTACAGGCCTCTTTCCAGCTAAATCCCAATTCATGTTCCCAAGCTTGGCACTTCCAGTCCAGTGGTCTCTGACTGACTCTGAGAAGCAGGGAAGAGAGTCACAGTGGGAGTCTCTACCTCCCCTATCCGAGAGAAAGGCTGAGCGGTAGGAGATAAAAACAAATGCCATCACCCTTACAGGAATGCTACTTCGGGCAGCGACACAGATGAACAAACTTCTGTGAGGAAAACTCTGTTTGATGTTTCATTACATGGGATAAGTGTG